TAGTCTGTCTCCAGAGATATACACCTACCTTGCAGGCACCAGAAAWATTATACCAGCTTAAATCAGTGCAAGCTTTCCATGCTGTCACTGCCTCTCCTGTTTTGATTTGGTGACGGTAATCTCTATTCACTGCTGTGCTGATACTCTTGAAGTCAAGGCCCCTTMCCTACTTCTGCTGTTTCTGGAAGGAAAATTAACAAGTGCAGCTTAGGCATGTTATGAACAGTTAGCACATTTCCACACCTAAGAGAGTATGTGGGCTCAGATATCTGATTTTCTTTGCAAGCAGATGGAGAGGTGAAAATCCTTATGAAGGCTTGTCATATCCTTATCTCAAACCCTCCTGAAAAGTAGGCAAATGGAGGTGAGAAGGTAAATGATCCAGACATCGAGTAACTCAGCTCTTCTCACAGGCTGTGAAATTTGCTTAGAAAAGCCAGGAGAGAGGAAAAACCCAGGTGGATGTGGAGTATGGCRGTTTCAGAGAATGAGTTACGTGAGGGTTGTTGCGGGAGAGCACGGGCATGAGGGCACACCCATCCCCTGCCCTGAGCAGAGGCAGTAGCGTCCTGAGGATCACACCTGCATGGCTCTTTGGAGCACAGGACTTTGGGGAATGCATCTCATGACTTCCCACCTCTGGCATTTATGACCCCTTCTCATCTTTCCATTTCTGTCATGCAATCTTCTCCTCTTCTTCCACCCCTTGAATTTACCACTTAATAACATCTCTGGGGCTACTTTTGCAATTGTTTGCACGGTTTAGGACCGTTAGGAAAGCATTTAACAGATTGTGATGATATTTAGGAAKTGGAAATAGCCATGTAAACAGCAGATCCGTAAGCAGCTCGTGGCTCTCAATTTGAAAACCATTTGATGCAAACACAGCCCAGGCTATTTCTCGACARGAGCTCCTAGAAAGTCTCTTTATTCAAGTGACTGAGGCTTTTCCAAGGAACAGGAGAACATGAGTTATCTTTCTGCTGTTCTTTGGCAGTTACAGAGAGGCGTGACTGGCTGCCTAATGATATTTTCCATATTGTTTATCTTTTCTTTCCTTTGAGTGCCACAGGGTCTATCACTCCTTCAGCTCAATAGGATATAGGCCCCAAGGGGACTTAGCCTACAAATAAAACACAGAGCTAAGCAATATGATTAAAACCCAAAATATTTTAGGCATACTGCTGTTGTTAGTAACACTGGTTTCAAATTATTTCCCTGCTCTCTGTCTCTCCTCTTGGAGACTTGTTAAAAGCTCCATGATACCACTTGTCATCCMGCAGAGCTATGCCAATGCAAAATGAATGGATGGGTCCCACTACAAATCATATCACCAAAAAATGTTTTGTAAAGCTAACCCCAGCTATAATGAAAAAAATTCCTTTTCTTATGTTCCTACGAAGATCTTACATTCTTCATGCCACATATTTCCAAGTCCTGTCAGTGGACAGATAGGAGCTTGTATAATTTTCTGTTTTCACTTTCTATTTCCCAGGTGCTAGCACAACTTGAAACACTCAGTCGTTTTCAATTTTTTAATTTCACCCCTTTGCAAAAAGATTTTAATTGTTGTGAGGTATCCCCCCCCCCCCCCCCCTACTGTGGGCAACTTTTTAGTTTTTCAATCTGTTTTTTCACATGAATTTTGCTTATGTGGCCAAGCTGCTTTTCAGTCTGGCTGCAAGTCCCCCTCCGAGGGCTTTTGAACCTCCTTGATGAATTTTACTCAAATTTGATGGAAGGGCAGAAAGGCAGAATTCTCAGAAACAATCATGCTCCTACAAGATCTGTTAATACAGACAGTACAATAGAGGAGTGAGAACTAAATTCATGCCCTGACTGAGCAAACATTAYTGTTTCTCTTGGCAGCTGGTACTTGCTGGCCCACCCACACCTACTGCTTCTTGCTTTGCAGGGATATTGTCCATGAAGTGAAAAGGAGACAAAATTAATGCAATGGGCATGGAGGGGGCACMGGGAACAAGTCTGCTGGGAATCAGGCCTTGCTGCTTCCAAGCCTCCCCACAGGAATTGTTTCGTGGCTAACTTAAATCTATATTGTTTTATTTCTAACACGTGGAAAGCTTGCCTTCGGCATCAAATGGCATTATTTTTGTGGACGTAAAGCCAGTACCTTAATATTATTTTAACAAAGCCYTCTGAAATGCACATACATTTCCAGTCAGCCGGATTCTTCCTTTTTGCTGAATACTGAACATTCTTTTCTTCCCCTCACTGTTGTCTTTGGCTGTAGAAATTGTACTTTCCACTTTCACAAAAACTGTAGGGGCATTATGAATGCCTGTATTTTTCTTGAGCAGACTTTTTGCTTTCTAACAAAATGCCTATACTAASTCACCTCATGCAAGTTCAGCTTTCAGTGTATGAGTGTAAAGAACAAGGTGCTTATCTACTTTGCCTGTATAGTTGCAACTGAAAATTAAATTTGCCTTTGTATTTTCTACTGGAGTGCTATGGTGAATGCTTGAAAAGATGTCATGTTCTTCTTCAGCTGCCTGCATGTCAATGCGATAGACAAAGAGATTTATCTCCACATAGTACAAAATTGCTCTGGGGTTCTTAAGGTAAATAGGAACACAATTACTCATTACTTTTTGTCTTAYCATTTGTTTTTTCCATAGTTTTAAGTCAAGTATCTTAATTGAATGTGTATATAGCAAGGTGCTGGCATTTTAAGGAGTGCTGTATAATGTTTCACATTTTCCTAATCAAATTACAAACTTTGATTGCCATCTCCTGACAGCACTCTCAACAAGAAGAAAATGTCATTATTTCTACTATGCTGATAGGAAAGTGAGGTGATTTATCCAGGGTCACCCTGGAAGTGGCAGAGARTGGGCTGCAGTAAGATCCTGACCTACATTTTGGTGCACAGAATGCCAAAGCTCCTTACTTAGCTACTTACACACAAAAGCTTTCTCAGTATTTTATTTAACCCATTTGAGCATGTATTTCTTCCAKGCACAGAGCTTCAACCCAAGAGATGATTAGCCATGTGCATTTKTGCCCAGTTTATCAGACTAATGGAAGAGCCATGACTGCCCTACAGTACAAACACCAAAAGCCACGTGTAGACATGACTGCAATTTCACCCCTCTCACCTTCCTGGACAACAGCAGTATAATAATTTGGGGACAGCTTTCCATTTTGGGACAGCTTTCCATTTAGCATTACAGGATTGCACCAGGAATTTTGCAGATATTGCAGATGCCATCACTGCCCTGTTTCAATTCAAATTTTTGAGGCTGCCCAGGAGCCTGGCCACAAGTYTTTGGCTGACAGCCCATGGCACATGTTACCCTTGTAGACATTCTGCTGATGTTATGCCTTTCATGCTAAGTTATTGTTACTTAAAATTCAGCTGTTTGCCTTGATCTTGTCCTTATTTTCAGGAGGCACTAGCAAAGATTCATTTCACCTGGCTTTAATTATGTCATCAGCCAGAGTGGTCTCAAGCCACTCAGCCATTTCAGCTCCCCATGTGCTGAATTGTTTTACACATCCAATTTGGGATGGAATGGGTCACTGTTTGGAGCTGCCTGGAGGAGGGAATCTTGGTGACTAAGTCTGACTAAATGCCTGTTTCCTAGTTAGCACAAGTCAGTTGAGGTGAATCACACAACCAAGAGCCTCCTGACCCAAAAGGTAGAGTGCTCCAACACTGAGTTGTCATTATCTCTTCAGCTAAGGCATTTTGAAGGATTTGGGAGGTTATTGGTACTTTTACACAAGATCTGGTCCAGGCTGGGTTTGAGATTGCACAAGGTCTTTGGGAAGCCCATTCCAATGCTCGACTGCTCTAATTTTGAAGAWTTCCTTCCTCTTAACAAATTGAGATTTCTCTTGCTGCAACACGGGACCAGTGCCTCTCATTGGTTTGCTGTGCTCCTCAGAGAAGAATCTGGCTCCACTTTCTCAATTACTTTCCACCAGCTGTAGGCAACAGCTAAAAATCCCCCCTTAGCCCCTACTTCTCCAGGCTGAATGAACAAACAAGATCCCTCAAAATGTGGAATGACAGTGGAATTTTCAACGTTTTTATAACTTTCAGGATCAAATTCCCCAAAGACTTACTTACTTCTTTTTAATTTCAAGTACTGACAAAATTATGACTGATTCTCAGGTCTGCAAAGGTGTGTCATATCCTCTAAGGCAATAAATTCTCACTGGATCGTGGTAGGCACATCAGAAGAGGAATGTTGTCCTCAAAACTAGCTGCAGTGGGAATGAAGGATCCCAGAGGGGGAGTAGCTGTGGGGCAATATATTATATCCCTGAGTGGGAATGGGATGAGTTTGTGCCCTGGCATTTGTAGTTTGCAGGAGTTTTGCAGGGTAAATAGGAACACAATAGGAATTGATGTGGGGTCAGAGAGTCCGGGTTGCTCGGTCCGAATCCAGCAGCTCTTGTCAGCCAGGAACGGACTCACTCTGGTTTCACACAAAGATAAAACTTCMCTTAAAACCTCCTGGACTTCCCCTTCTTGCACTGGGGTTTTCACCAGGTTTGTTTACCTTACAAAAACACACATGTGGAAAGAGTACAAAGAGGTTAACTCCATCGACTGCGAGCAGCGGCAAAGGCGGTGCGGCGAGAACTGAAAACGCAGCCCGTTTCAGGGAAAGTGAAGAGAAACCATCTCCTCACAGCAGCGGAAATCATGCCACGGCCGTTTTCCACTACTCTCCCACCCGACGGGCTGTTTTATGATAAACTCCACAGTTAAACAGCAGTAGGGTTTTTCCCTTCGTGCAGCGCTGTGGGGCTGATGAATCACCGAATTGAGGCACATGCTCGGCTCGGCTCGGCTCGGCTCGGCTCGGCTCGGCTCTCCCTGTCCCCCTGGGCCGCCCCGCTCCCTTTCCCGGGCGGTCCCTTTAAGGGGGGGCCGGCCCGCGAGCGCTGCCATGGCAACGGCGTGACCGCCGTGACCGGAAGTGCGCGGGGTCAGAGGCCGCGGGAAGATGGCGGCGGCCCTGGCGGCCATGGGCGATGGCGGCGGCGCGGCGGCTCCGTGAGCTCCTCCCGCCGCGGCCCCGTCCCAGGTGAGGGAGGGAAGGAGGGAAGGAGGGACTCGGAGGGGGAACCGGGCCGCGGTGCTGGCGGTGGCAGCGGCGCCGAGGTTSCCCCGCTGCCCTGGCCTCGCCGGTTCGTTCTCGCCCGGCGGGCTCTGAGCCGCCTCCCSTTTCTCCCCAGGCATGGTCGCCGCGCTGTAGGACGGCCGGGAGCCGAGGCGATGGAGGAGAGCACTTGAGCTTGTCTGCGGGGGCGTTCCGTGTGTGTGAGACGTGTACGGTACCCGAAACCTCGGTTTCACTGCTGCTCTTTTTTGTTGCACCTGAAGGAATAAATAACCAGAGGCCTATTGCTCTAATCTCATCCTTACTATCTTTCCCTTTGGGAAAAAAAAAAAAAAAAAAAAAAAGAGAGTCTCTTGTTTTGACTTGCACTTACACAGAAACTAGTCAGGTTTCTTTTTTTTTCCAGCTGTAGCTGGGTGGTTTTCCCAGGTTATTGTGTCTGTTGTCACTTTTCCCTTTAGCATTGGCGTGTGTGCTGCTGTTTGGGCTGGACGTGCCCTCTGGCAAAGCTAAACTTTGACCTGAATGGTCTCTTGTGCAGTAAGTGCGGGGTGAGTGCTGGAGCAAGGCTCCTAGGTTTGCACAACCGGGCTGTTCAGCACACAGCTGGGGCTGCAAGAAACCGCACACAAAAAATAAATACTGGAGTTAAACTGGGCGTGCAGCTTCACACTGGTGCTTATGTGTAATCGTTGAAATACAGTTCTTGGTCACTGGACTTTTTTGATCTCCACTTTTGTTAGTGCATGGATTGCACTGCACTAATGAGTAGTGTATTTTGCTTAGTGATTGAAAGCATCACCATATCTCATGTATTTCATAGCAGCTGTCTGTTCTGTTCAAGACACCACCCAGGCTCTGCTTTTGGACCATTGGACATTTTAGTTGTAGATAGAATGGTAATATTTTATTGTTTTTCAATCATAAGCTTATTCCACTATAAAACCGAGAGATTAACAGATGAGTCCCTCTCCATCCTGCGTCCCCCTCCATCCTGCTTCTTACCTAACAAATGGGGAGACTACGATAAAAAAAAGTCAAATTATGTCTTGAATTGAACACAGAATTCTAAAATGTGTTGGTTGACTTTGTAATCGTGTTTTATAGTATTATCTAATAGTAGGAATGCAAAGCTGCAGTGGCAACTGTACCTCAGCCAATCAGGCTACCCTTTAACAGTTTGAATACATAGTTTGGTCAGTGTGTGGGCTGCAGCTGCAGAGTGTGGTCTCATTCCTTTCCATCACTGGCCATGGGTTGTTGTTACTCYCTTTGTAGTGGATTTAGTGGTTGGATGATTTCAGGGACAGTTGATCTAACAATTTTATGGGGATGGTTTTCTGTCAGATGGAAGTTATTCYGCTGAGTGCTTGCTCTGATATGAATGTAAGCTGTTTCTCCTTCTGCACTAACATAAACCAGCTGTGGGTCAACCATAATGTGAAACTGTACCTTGACAAACCAAATCTCAAACTGGTCATTCAGAAAATCAGAACTACACCTCMAACTTCTGAAAAGTTTCAGTTTTGAAAAAGAAAAGTCATCCATGTGTAGGGAATATGTGGTAAGAGTGAAGAAAGTATAAGCCTATGAAGGAACTTTCCCATCTTTTCTAGAGTTTTTTTCTCCATTCACTGCTTGCCAAAGTGTTTCTGTGCTAAAAGAGGGAAGTTACAAACCCTTATTTAGAACTCAGGGACTGGTCCACTGTGTGTACTCAGTAAGGCAGAATGTTCAGGGAAAAATAATATTGTACCCTACTGTGAAAGCCAGACTGGGGTTGTGCAGGGAAACCTTGATTCTATATGGTCCAGCTCCTCAGTCTTGATGAGTTTGCTTTCATGGAGTTGCCTGCCTTCCCCACAAAAGCAATCTGGAAAGAAGATTGGAAGTGTCATGAGGTGTCATCCTCACACTCACATGGGGTTTTAGCGGTGTTAGGATTTGTTGGATCAAGTAACCCTTTCTTTAGTTGCTCAGGTGGGAAGCTGTCACATGTTTCATCTGTTCCTGTAGAGTCTCTACTTCTTCAGGAGCTATTTTTAGTAAAGCCACRTTCTTAATTCTTAAATTCTTAATCATCTGAACTGCTTCAGGTGCAAATCTTTTTGTCCTTCTGCTGGCTTTCTATATGATTCTGTCCAAGACTTTTCTCCATGGAGTTTTCTGTTCTTAATTTTTGTTTAGACAGTCTCATGTATGTCTTTTCTTTCCTGTCACTTGTCCCATCYTTCATTGTGCTGCTACCCCTTACTCCTCCCAACTTTGCTTTGCCAAAGGACATTTTTTTACTTTCGTTGGCTGCTTCTTCCAGTTTYTTGGGACGTGTAGAGTTTCTGTCTCAATTTATGCTTTCCTCCTACCTCATCAGTATTTACAAATGATCTGTGTTYTCCTCTGTCCTTCTTTCCTTGTTTCATTCTCCTGTTCTCTACTTACTGTCTTGTTCAAGGCTGTCCCTTCCTCATTCGCTTGTTTCTTCAGGTCATGGTGCTGGGAACACACAGACATGAGCTCCATAGTCTGGTTAAATGTTTTATTAGCACTGGCCTGAGCAGAGCTGGCTTGTTTGTATTTTGTTTATGGCGCTTGGTCAGCACTTAGAGCCAAGAGAGGGGGAGATGGAACCTTTGGAGAGTTGAATCTTTGGAATGGATCCCTGCTGAGTGTGGGCAAAGGGTCACAGTTTGATTTTACTATTTGTTGCCTTGGTCTGAAAAGTAAATTKCTTCTGAAAGACAATTCTGCATTGTGAATTGTCCAATTTTTTGCTGTAGCAGGACACAGTGAGATGTAATAGAGCTATGTGAGCAGAATTCTTCAAACATAGACAAAATGTCTCTTCAAATACTATTTTTTTTCTCCTAGCTGAGCTACTTTACTTATGAACTTGAATTGTTTTGATACAATAAATATAATTTACTTAATTAGGTTTGTTTGTTCTAGAGTTTCTTAATGTACACAGGGGCTAAAAACTGGGAGAGTCTTTACTTTTAGTGTAAAATTAGTAGCTTCACTGGGTTCCCACGCTATCCGTTCATGAGTTTGAGAAAATTAATTTGCCTTTAATCTGGCAATAGGCTGAGGTGATTTCCCCTTGAGAACAAAACCACTTTTTTTCCACCTTGCTGCTTTTCAGTGTGCTTTTCCAAGATTTTGCACGTGTGATACTAAACCTCCCCTGAATCCTGAGGAATTTTTTTCAGGCATGCTTTGGTATAAAAACTGCTATTGATGTTACTTTAGGTATCAAGGGAGCAGGTATTGTTTTCATTCTAGTGTTTCTGAAAAGTATTGCTTAATCTCAGGTGCTTTTTCATTTAGCTTATGATGATTTTGTTGTTTTTAAGGCATCCAGCATCTCTTATGTTTGAGGGAAATTTTATCTCTATCTGCTTTTCTTTTTTGATGGTGGTTTCAGAGGTGCCATGAAGGCTAAGTGAAGACAGCCTCATGGGTCTGCATGAAGCAGTTATGTGGATCACCACACGTAGCTTGTAGAAAGAAAATTAATTTTTCCTGAAAAATTTCTCTGGTCCTTTATAAAATTATCGTTTGAATTATGGTGTTCTGGAAACGGTTGTGTCACCAGACATGCTCACAGTTCCTGAGTGCCTTCTTATATGAATGACAGATTGTTTTGTACTCCTTTCACCAAATCAATGAAACAACAGACTGGGTCGTAACAGAATGCTTGGCTTTTAAAAGAGACCAAGAAATAAAATATAACCATTAATTCTTCTTGTTAAATCAAAGACAAACAAAGGTAGTGTAGGTACTGACGAGTACATTCAATCATGATTTTGAAACAGCAATGGAGTTACTTTGAGTTCTTGAAATCCTGCTAATTGCATCAAACTGTTAATGATTGTTGCAGATCAAGATTTAATTTGCTGTTCAAAGTAACTGGAATTTACAATGGTAATGCATGAAATGGACAAACAGATCTGGGATGAGCATAGGATTATGTTTCATTTTTGTTTCCTTTTAACTTTTGCGTGGTCAGTATGATAATGATTCCACCAARATGTGAATGTTAATTGTGAAGTAACAGAACATATGACTCTTTAAATCCATTTGAAGACCCTCTTTGGTGTTTGAAGGTCAAGGTGTTGCTGTCCTGCTACATGATAGAGCTTGGCTGAAATGCCTTCTATGACCACTGATGCAGTTTTAACAGGGATAAAAGTGCTAAGGARCCTCTCTTCAGCTTGATCAGTTCTTGGAATGACAGAAGCAACAGATAAAAGATTCCAAGCGTTTTTTTTTGTTTCTTGAAGTAATTAATTACGCATCACTTGATAATTCTGCTCTTAGATTACRTTATGGTTTCTCTTATCTGGTGTTAGTACTGATGTTTAACATTGATTTCCTAGAAGTCTTTACACAAACAGCCTGCATTTGTTCAGATCAAGTATTAACATTATGTGTTTGAATTCAGAAGGTAATTGCATATCTTGCAAATTACCCAATGGCTGTTTCATCTTGAAACATTTAGAAATCCATTTCAGTTTCTCATAATTATAAGGTTTTAGTCAGACAGCAATCTAAACTTAGGACAGCACTTTGGCAGTGATATGCTTGTTTTTCTAAAATGAGCACAGTTTTTGTGGTTAAATTTTCCTTTCATTTAAGTATAGATTTTAATCAGCGTGGGCCAAACTTTTCCAACCATCTTCAAAATTAGCTCAAGCCGTATTTTAAAAAGTATGTTCTCCTAATGTGATTTAACTTATGTAGAAAAATGTATGCATAAATTAATGTTTCTAAGCTGATTAATGCTTTTGAAGTGTTTTTACCGTTTGTTTGCAAAAGAATGTTTGTAGACAGGCTCAAACATTATACTAGTAGTCTCTTTGTAATAAATACTACTGAAAGCACTTCACGCTGTGTTTCTGAAATTTGAAAGGTAGCTGTTCAGAAAGAAACTGTAAATTCCATTCAYCAAGAAGCTAAATTGCAACATCAAAACAAAGGAAAATGCCTCTGTTTTTCCAGACTCTCAGCAGGCATTGTTCGAAGTTTTGGAGATTACAGAAATTTTCCTTGGTTGAATTGTGTGTCTTTGGGTGTGGTGTAGTCACTATTTTCAGTTGGTGAGTTAAAGTTGTAAACAGATGTACACCAAGTTCTTTGTAGAGGACATTCAACATTGAATATATTGCCACACGGAAGTGGGAAGGAGTATGAATTGCATTTATCAGGTGGCTGTTA